CACTGTCCTAGAGCATGACGTAGATTAGGAGACTGAAGATAATTTGAGTCCTTTTTATCACAAATAGTTGAATACTGAATATAACACTAAAGTTATATATATATATATATATATATATATATTGTTTCATTTAAAAATAAGTACAGAACTCAGTCTTAAAAAGATAGGCCTTTTTATAAATCAGAAAAAATAAAGCCATTTAAGATCCTTTAGGAACTCATAGTTAAAATAAGAAATTTGCACATCAAAACATTTGAATCAATCTAATACAACCCTGGCTTCAGCCACGTACAGTAGCCTAGCACATGCCCATAATCCCAGCAGCTGGTCAGGGAGGTGAGTGATGAGGCAGAAGGACTGCAGTTTTGAGGCCAGACTAAGCAGCAAAGATCCTGTCTCAAACTAAAATTTGCAATGGCTGGGAGTGTAGCTGAGTGATAGGTGGAGCACCTGTCTGGCATGGGCAAGATCCTGGATTCCATCCTTAGCACTGCAAAAACAAACAAACAGATATAACCCTGGGTTCTTCTAAACCTAAAATCATTTAGGACATATCAATTTTACCTGAGGCCTTTTAGAAGCCTTAGTGGTTTATTTCCCTCCCTCCTCAACTCATGTGCAAATGTTTTAGTTTAAAATCTGCGTTCTCCTGTAGCATTTTCAGAACCCTCCTCTCCCTCCATGGATTACGCTTTTCTTTCTAATCCTCACAAATCTGAGCTCCATCCACATCCCATACCCCCAATAGCTGCCCCTTGGCTAACAAGTGTCCTCAGCAGGAGAGTCCTGATGAAGAAGACTCCCTCTGAAGCCTTGGGAGTGAGGTTCAGTCTAATGGAGGCAATTCTGGAGCTCCCAATATAAGGAGTATGGTTTTGGAGGAGAGATGTGGACACAGCTCCTGGCTATGGGTAAGAGTTCAGCTGGAGGAGGCCAGAATGAAGCTCTCTGAAGTACCCAGTCCAGGCCAGGGGCCATGACTGACCAAGCCTAACTGCAGTATGATCACCATGGAGAGACGAATCCATAAAAATATGCGTAGATAATGAATGGAGGATGCAAGAATTGAACTCATGCCTATGTGCCCCAAGGCCTGAATTAATTATCTTTCCATATACCAGTAACTTGTTTTAGATGTTATACTTTCAAATCTTCTTAAATCATACACTTCTCATATCAGGTCCAATGCCATGTTTTGTTTTGTTGTTTTAATTTCCACAAGCCCAAGCACACCAATAGCCTGTCTATCATGAGAATCTTTGGTCCTGACAGGAGTTCCAGTAAATTTCAGCATTTTGACCAACCGATTGATTTCTTCAGGCTCACTGTAAGATCTCAGCATTTAACCAGTTGTAAAGGGCTCTGTAATTCTTGTTTCATCCATTTGACAGTTACCTATTACTAAGACAGCAGTAATAGGTAACTGTCAAAAGGACACTGAGAATTTCAAATCCCTTTTAAAGTAGAGAAATATTCTGGAAAAAGACTCATTTACTCTGATGTTTGTCCTTACAACATCCGTGTATACAGCATGTCCATGTACACAGCACAACTTTAGCAAAACCAATGGAGTTATAACTCCAACATACTAAGCCTCCACTGCATGCTAGCATTTACAGGGGTATTTCATTTATTCCTCATGGGAAGATGAAAGTAGAAAAACTGGGGCTAGGGAGGATAAATAACTTGCTCAAGTCCATACATCCTCTAGGTGGTCAAGCCCAAAACCAAGTTTGTGGGCTTCAAAGCCCACCTTGAACCATTGGCATAACTCCCCTCAAAACTGAATGGAGTCTGAAGTGTTGGAGTTGGAAGGAAAACTAGAACTTATCTTGTCCAAACCCCTCCTTTTATAGAGGAGGAGACATGTGGCCTACTGAGTTTTATCAGATAAAATGCAGTTTTCTAAATCTTTCATTCAGCCAGATTAAAACAAAACTTGAAGTTAATCAAATTATTTTCAGTGAAACTTGGTACCTAAGTTTTCTTTTTTGTTAAAATAGAGTTCAGGAACCATTGATCTACCTGTTATCTCTGTAGATCTGCTTGCCGTGAGTATTTCCTATAAATAGAATTGCACAAAATATGGTCTTATATTATATTATGGTCTTATATTATTATGCATAATATTTGGTCTTGCTTCTTAAACTCAACATATGTTTTCCAGGTCCATTTATATTGTACCATGTGTTAGTGCTACATTTCTTTTTTATGGCCAAATAATATTTCATTTTATATATTTATCACATTTTGTTTATATAAAAATCCATTGATATTTGGATATTTGGGTTGTTGCCATGTTTTGGTTATTGTGAATTGTGCCACTATGAGGACTTATGCCATAAATTTTTGTTTGAATATCTATTTTCAATTCCTTTGGTTATATACCAGGGTAGAATTGCTGGGTCATAAGATTACTGTAAGTTTAACTTTTTGAGAAACTTCCAAATCATTTTCCACGCAGACTGTACCATTTTACATTCCCACATTTATGCTTTATGAAGTTTCCAATTTTTCCACATTATCACCAACACTAGGTATTTTCTGTTTTGAAGATTTAAAAAGATCATTATAGAAACCCTGATAGACATTAAGTAGTATCCCATTGTAGTTTTGATTAGCTTTTTCCCTAATAACTATTGATTTTGAGCATTTTTAAATTTATTTGTTGGCTATTTATATATCTTCTTTGGGAAAATGTATATTCAAATACTTGGCCTGTTTTTTAAATTCGGTCATTCTAGTTTTGTTGTTGAGTTGTAAAAGTTCTTTATATATTCTCAACTTTAGAATCTGATCAGATATATGACTTAGAAATATTTTCTCACATTCTGTGAGCTATCTTTTTACCTTCTTTCTTTATTTTTTAAAATTTTTTATTTGTTTTAATTAGTTACGCATGACAGTAGAATGTGTTTATACACTTTAATATATCATACATAAATGGGATATAATTTCTCATTTTTCTAAGTGGACATGTTGTAGAATCATTTTGGTCATGCTGTCACATATATACATACAGAAATAATGTCTGTTTCATTCTACTATCCTTCCTGTTCCCACATCCCCTCCCTTGCCTGCACTTCCCTCTACCTAATTTACTTTCTTGATAGTGTTTTTTGGTGCATAAAATTTTTAAATTTTGATGAAGTTCAAGTTTTTTCTTTCATTGCAAATTGTTTTAGTGTCATATTTAAGAAATCAATGTTTAATAAAAGGTCACAAAGATTTATGCATATGTTTTCTTCTAAGAATTTTATAGTTTGAGTTCTAACCCTTAAAGTCTTTACTCCCTTTGGAGTTCATTTTTAGTAAGATATCCAGATTCATTTGTTTTTGCATGTGAGACGTAGAGTTGTCCAAGCACCACTTGTGGAAAAGACTCTTCCTTCTCCATGAATGGTCTTCACATTTTGGCAAAATTCAGTTGGACCTGGGTTTACTTCTGGATTCTCAATTCTTTCCATTTATCTATAGTGTGTCCTTATGCTAGCACCTCACGCTTTTATTACCATTGTTTTGTGGTAAGTTTTGAAACTGGGAAATGTGAACACTTCCTTTTTTTTTTCTTATTTTGTCCTTTCTCAAGATTGTTTTGGCTATTCTGGATCACTTACAATTCTATATGGATTTTAGAATCAGAACTTATCAATTTCTACAAAGAAGTCAATAGGGATGGAGCATTAATTTTGCTTATATAAATTTGCAAAATTTATATATTCTCAACTGTAGAATCTGATCAGATATATGACTTGGAAATATTCCAGGAGAGCTGCTCTACTGAGTGAGAAGAAATTCCATGACAGGCACAGTAGCACATATTTAAACCTTATGCTGTACAACTGAGTCTTTGATAATTGCATCTCAATACAAATTCACAGTGGCATGCAAACTAATGATAACCATATGGTGCTGTTGAATTTGAGGGAATACTAAGGACATATGGATTCCTTACATTTGCACTGATATGATAATTTAAATTGTATTCACAATCTTTTCCCATTTTGGGATTTAGTCAAGTGGGCATTTATTATTGGTTGTTATTTTATATAAGGTGAAATTAGACACAAAGCAGATAGAAGCGACTTGCTCAAAGGGATAAGCTAGAAAGTAGGGTAACTAATCACAGTGGTCTCCCTGAAAC